GGGGTTTTTTTTTTTTTTTTTTTTTTTTTTGATGTGGCTGAATGAAGTCTTATCACTTACTTGGCACAAATATATGCGAGCAGGGTTTCGACCTTTGAGCTAAATGTGCATACAAACTCACCCTAGCGTATACCATTGACGTCAATCGAAGTAGATTTTGCTGAGCTAGGCTGATTGTATGACGAAATTTGTTTTCCCTAAAGACTTGGTGACACATGCAACGTTGCACGTTTCCTTTTTTTCCTACGTTTTAAGCCATGTGTGTCCTTTCAACTCACGTTTATTTCAACTTGGGACCTTTTGCTTTTCCTTTCATGGATAAAGCGGCCATCTTGGTATTGTTTCGTTCATTAACCAGCCATCTTGTTTGACTGAATGAACGACTGCACGTTTTGGTTTTACATTCGAACATTTCTTTCTCTAACGCTTTCATGTTTGTTTTTCGCTTCCGCTTTAAGTTTTCTTTTTATATTTTTATATTTATCCGCGCATGGTTTCGGTTTTAAGGGATTAAGTCAAAATCTTGCTTTCTATTAAGTGATTAAGTGACCATCTTGTTTTCCATTTAGGGGATTAAGCGTCATCTTGGTATTGTTTAGGTAATTAATCCGCGAACTGAACGCATGTTGGACTGAACGTTTTTTCCTAGCTCCCTTTTGCTTTTTGTTTTTGGTTTTGTTTTTTATTTTCTCCGTTTTCTCGCTTTACAAGACAACATTTAAGTTCATGTTGTTTTCGCACTTTTTCCTGCTTTCCCCAACAACAATTATTTTTCATACTGTTTACCCTTTTCCCAAGTCAATCACTTTTCACTGTTCTTTTTACAATTCTTTTATTCCTACATTACTCCATTACAACACTGTTCTCGTTCTCGTCACTGATTTTCTGCTAAATCTTCCTCGGTGATGTTGGGGAACAATAAGAACCCGGCAAACGGAACATTTCTCAAAATTGTACAATGCTCTGACAGGATTAAATTCGCGATAATTCATAAAATTTATGAAATCGTCTATTAATAATCTTAGAGTTCCCAAACGCGTATTGCAATGGCAGTGAACGTCATTGAAGACCCAATCTGTGTAGGGGCACAGGGGAAGACGTCTAAGATCACGCAGCGTTTGTCTACAAGAAGAAAACACAGCATCCTTACTTAACATAGATTCAAACATCGCAAACTAGCTTGTTTTAGTGTACTTCTATACGACCTTTGATTCTAAAAGAGCTAACGCGTGGTTCGGAAACAAAAACTAATTCAACTTGAATTTTTTTCATGACCTACCGGAATTTCTTTTCGTGTTCTTTTTTGCTTTCATGTCTCGCCTCTTCAAATTCACGTGCTTCGAGTTGGATTCGCACACTGTGGCAAGGTGGTAGGTTTTCCCGGGCGGCTTCACCTGGATTGTTTACCGCCAACAATGCTAACTGCTGCAATGATTTAACTTGTTGTTGTTTCTGTACGTCTGGCTTGGGTAGTGGAATGAGTGGACGAAAAGACATTTTGATCGTAAAACTATTAAAAACCTTTGAAGGTAGAACTGTTTAACACTTTGGCTAACAAGCGTCAAGCGAATTGATGCTTATTTTATGCTCGTTTTACTTTTCTTCACCCTTACTTCACTATTTCATTGGTTCTTTTGGCTTCCCCAGCGAGTTTGTTAGTCTCGATTGGTTTGGACTATTTCCTAGCGTCTTTGACCCGCCCGTGCATTTGCATAGAGCACATGGCAAGACTCGCTCTGCTGTTATGTTTTTGCTAACGAAGCAATGAAATACAAAGACTTAGTAGACCCAAAAACAAGCCTTCGAGGTGCAACCTTCAGCAAACACTTCGATCACTGGGTTAAGCGAAATTATGCTTCGATTTTAGCGTCACTCTCTATACATTTTAAAGTCATAACTTCTTTCATTGGTTCTGCTCGTGTCCGTGGAGTCTTTCACCCTACATTTCATAGAGCAAATGTTACGCTACTACATTTCGCAATCTTACTGTAAGCACGTTTCTTACTGAAATCACAAATCTACCCTTTTACGCGTTTGGTTTTATTTTCTTTTACTATTTTATTTACCCGCTTTCTTAACTACGTGACTTTTTTTCGTTTAGCAAGGACCGTTTTGTCAGCGCTGAATATTCTTTTCGCTTGGAAAACCCTTGGCCAATTTAATTTTTCCCTTATTAATCCTTCTATTGTCTAAGGGATTAGTCGGCCATCTTGTTTGACGTCAATGGTTATTACACAATCCTTTTGTCTGCACGTACTTTCAACTGCTCCTTGACGTTTCTTTTAAGCAAAACCAATTTATTGTTGTTTAGCAAGGACCGTTTTGTCAGCGCTAAATATTCTTTTCGCTTGAAAAACCCTTTGCCAATTTAATTTTTCCCTTATTAATCCTTCTATTGTCTAAGGGATTAGTCGGCCATCTTGTTTGACGTCAGTGATTATTACACAACCTTTTTGCCTGCACGCAAACAATTTCAGCATGTAAGTTTAAATAAACGAAGAGACATATAATCGCTTTTTATTTTACGCAAAATGTTCCAACAGTGGATGTTTTTTCACTTCTAATTGTCAGCAAGAAAGGAAACACACACACACACACACGGCTCTTTGAGACTTATTGTCATGACTAATTCAATTGACTGGTTTTTGAATATTTAATTACCTTTGACATATTTCACTTAGATCCTTAAATATTTCACCTGCAAAGCGGACGCATAACTATCCGGAAAAACATAGAACAAACAATTTCGTCGTCATTTTGACCTTAACATGCAAAATTTTGTGTACCTTCGGTTAGGTGATATTTACTTCCGGTCAAAATGTCGGCCATTCTAGTAATAACTCCAAAAACCGGTTTAACAGGAAAATTTTTCGATGGCACCATGTCACATATTAATAGCCACGATCAGTTTATATAATAAACAACTTCATCGTCATTTTGGCTTTAAAAAAATGCTTAATTTTGTGTACTTTCGGTTAGATGATATTTACTTCGGTCGCAATGGCGACCAGTTTAGTTTTCACTAAAAAAAACAGTTTAACAGGAAAAATTTGCGATGGCACCATATCACATATTAATAGTGATTATTAGTTCTGTCATTCCTGAAAATTTGGTGCTTTTAACAAAAAGTGAACAATTCAGCCCCAAATCTGCACATATCCGCCCCACTACATAAAGTGTATTAACTTACATGTATACCTTCATCTACGATGTATTCTAAAACTCAAACATTCAAAAATTATGTTGGGCGACTGCTCAGGCGACGTGGGGAAGAACTCAGAAATCGGTTCTCAGTACCAAGTTTATTTGATGTTGACAGATCGGAGTTCAAGTTTCAACTCTACTCTTCCTAGCTAGAACGACGCCAAAGTACAACGCATTCGAGTACCCAACAACCTGCCGTGATTGGTCAAAACCTAAGAACTATTCAAAAGTCTTTGTGTACATAGAAACAACGGCATCTTTTGAGGGATTAAAACTGTGATTAAGGTTGTGGTAATGAAAACTCAAAGTATCTGTACATTCGGTTATGAAAATTGTATTAATGGAAGCTAACTTCGATCGAACGTATATTGACACCAACCACCAAGTGGTTGCTGGAATTAGTGCCAGTACTTTTCGGAACTTGAACTGTTTACTCCGATTGCATAATCCGGATGACAAAAGTTTTCTGATAAAAGACGCCGACAGAGATTAGTGAAATTACATTAAAGGTTATTAACTAAAGTGTCCAATGTTCTTGCCGTAAACGGAGTTACGACTCCACAGTTTTTGCTGGCAATAAGACCAGAATAAGTTTCGACTCTAATAGCTTGTTTACAAATACGTTTTTATATTATCGTATCGTTCGCTCTTAAAGCTATGATCAAACTGTTGCATAACACAAGGCACAACTGTTTATCCAAATAGCCAAAACAACTAATTAGACTGGATTAACTGGAACAAAGATTGTTTACTGCCTAAGAGTAAAAGTAATTAAGTACTTCGAGTCCAGACGTGTGCGTTACTTAGCGACAGTCCGATCGTCACTTTTTTCGCAAGCTTTCAAGGTCAATCACGTTTTCTTAGTAGTTTCTGATAAACCTGGTACCTTATAACACCCAAAACACGCAAAACATGAAAAGTAATTGAATAAGATAAATGACCCGATAAGGGTTCAAAACACTCCTTACTTAAACACTCAAATGATATAAAATGGACGATTGATAAATAGTAAAACATTCCATCGAAATATAAAACTATTGAACGTGAATAAAACCGTAAAAGTACCAAATTGTATCCTAACACGTTTAGTCTACACTTTTTGCATACAACGCAATTTTTGCTGGAATACAAGATAATTGCAATTTACATTGACATCGAAATTCCACACCAGTGTTCTTACCCGTGTAGAGATCTTCAAAGACCTACCCACATGTTAAAGCGATACAAAATTTGCATAACCCCACTTAAAACATAAGGGGAGGTTTCCCCACTACGAAGGTGGGAGTTTTATGTTATTTATACACACAGTATGCTTCTAACGAGCACATTACCAGTCCTTTTGTTATTGAACTGAGCTTCCATCAAACACGCAAAACCGTCGTTTTTCCCCATACTTTTACTCATGACACTTTCTTCACTGCGACTCGTTTTGAAAATGAACGTCATTTATTCCTTTCCCCTTCATCTAACTTCTCCAGCAGGGCATCAAGTTTTCTCTCCACGCATTCTAACTTCGTTTGAAGTTTGGATTCGACCACTTCGGCGATGTTCGATGTTAACGCTTGGCCTTGAAAATCAACGTCCTCCCTTGCACACATCTGAGGCAAATATAAAGAAAAACAACCTTAAGCACAATACAGTCAAACGTTCGCAGCAAAGAAACAATCAACCTGTGATCAGAGCCCGCCTTTTGTCTTCTTGAGTGAGGAGGAGAAAAGGAGGATCTGCCTTAATCAGATGAAACTTTTGAGGTCGCTGCAGCCCAATTTCCTGTTCTCACTCGTGACACAGCTTTTTATTTTCGAGTTCCAGTATCCGTTTATTGATAATCGGATGGTCATAATCGAGCTTGCGGTACCAAGCGCACAGGTATTAGGCATGGGGCACAGCAAGCAGAGGAGTTATTGGCAAATGAAGCGAAAATTTCTATGTTAGTAACTGTTATTCGTTCGTAGTCATTACCTTCAGCGGTTTTACGGAGCAAAGGATAATATTTTACCAAGTTCATAACAAATTCTACAGTAAACAGAGGCCACTCGTTCGTTCGGCAGTAACTTTTTGCTTCAATTGCCATCAAAAATAACTCCTCTGCGCCCTGTGCTTGGAGTCGGAACTATATGCTAGCAACATGACGCGCATGCTTAACAAAGATTTTACTCGATCCATGCAGATTATTTCTCGAGTTCGCCAAAGTGGAGCAAGCGAATTGAAACCTTAAGGCCCTGCTGGCAGGGACAGAAACTAATGAGGTAAGCAAGGTTTCCACATCACAGGCGCCAGTACTATGAAATTAAAAAGTGGAGGTTGATGACTCATTAGATCAGATGGAGTTTCGTAAGAAATAAGTTCTAACTTTTGGGTCTGTGGACAAAATCCTATCCGTCTCATCGAGAGTTAAAAAAAAGGAATGAAGAAAGGTAGGGATCAAATCCAGGTGTCCGTTTTATATAGGTGGACGCTTAGAGAGAGTCGACTGTATTTGTGTCCCAGCATTTTACAAAACGAAGCCAGGAACATTTGTCTAATTTTATTTACTTTGCCATTTTGTGGGATTGAAAAGGATAAAGGCAGTAAAAATGTCATTAACATGAAAGGTGCCCGTATTGTAAAGGTGTCTATAAAGGGATTAAAAACAAATACATCCCGTCATATATTCATCACTTGATCACTTTACGGTGTATACTTAATTGTTGTACGTGTAGATGCTAAAGCTAAAATCTGCCTCCTGCGTAAAATAAAGTTATAATTACTTTCTTCCCCCTTTTCCTCCCTTCTTTCCTTCCTTCCTTCCCTCAATGATGTGCTCCCCGAAATTATTTTTGCACGTACTCTGCGAAGACAAAGACTTAGAGAACCGACCTGATCAAAGGTTTCACCCCGGGACACAGCAAATCTCCATTACCGCCTACTCTAACCAATCCTAACACCCAACCCCTCCCCCCTCCCCACTAAAAAGCTCATCCTTAGAGGAGGGTCTCAATGGGGTGGTGGCTTTTACGGTTATCGGCTAAAATTTTGGCTCTTTGACGGCTATCGGTTAATTGTTTTCAGTTACGGTTAACGAAAAAGTTTGTTTTAAAAAGTTAAATATTAATTAACCTGTATTTTTTGTATCTTCAAATCAAAATAAAGGTCTTCGGATCATCTCGAGAAGAAATAAGCTATTATTTTGAAAAAAATTAACATTTGATAGATCATACTCTTTATAAAGTATTCCACTTCTAATAAACACGCGCAGGAGCCCATCAAATGAAGCCTCCATCTCCATTAATTTCTTGAGTCAACCCTTTCCCGAGTAGATTTATAAATAGAACGGCTTGTTTCCCGCGAAAAGTGTCATATTTCCGTGAGTCTCGTATGTCACCGTGAGGAAAATAAAGTTGGATGAAGTCGAACTCAGAAGCCCATCCTTCGACCACTTTCCTTTTTACTATACGTCCGTTTCTATGATTTTACAGCCGCTGGGATCTGGGTATCATGAAATAAAAGTTAATGAATTACCCGACTGAGACTGAGCGTGAGGCGATGAAACAAGGGCAGCGAACTGAGGATCACTGAAAGGTTATCTTTGCGAGTGTTTTTATTTGTCGTCATACATTCAACATGTAAGCATGCACTTCGAAAAGAGTCGACGATTAAGCGTTCTGTGGACGATCTGGAACTTTTCGATGATCAGCGCCGAAAAAGTGCCAGGATCATGATTTGATTTTTGTCATCACCGTGGAGTGGATTTCGCCAGTTAAGCACCGCGTGCAAAAGCGATGACCGTAAGTGGCAACTAACGAGGAATGCTTTATTTCCGAAATTGTGAGAAATTGCAGTCTTCCTCTACAACTGACTCGCATCACCATGGGAGTTGCCTGATGAAACTGGCACTTGAAAAGTTGAACAGAAGAGAACAGCTGCTCGACCGTGAAGCTAACTCAAAAGTAATTGCTAACAGAGGAATTTGTGACATCGCGCTCCAGTCCAAGGACTCACTTGACTTGTCTCCAGAAAAACAAAATGGATTGTAGCTGCGACAAAAGAATAATGGTTGACTGACAGGACAATTCTCAGCAGTTACTGTAGAAGTTTAGGCTCGATTCTTTCCTTCGAATTCGCATCTGTAGATCACTTTTTTGTGAGAAAACAATGGCTGGGCCCCGCGTTACAAAACATAGCAGGGAATCATCACACTAGCTGACGGACAAAACAACCACAAGGACTACAAGTATTTTCTCAGACAAACGGATTTCGGAAAAAAAAACCTTGAAAAACTAGAAATTTGTTTATTATTGAGTCATTTAGCCGAAATAATAATCTTAAGCTTAAAAAAATTGGCTAAAGAAAACGAATCCTATCAGAACTACAGACTGTAGGTAGTAGTTCATCATTATGCATCTAACAGACCAGCTTCATGGTCTCTTAATGTGAGACAAGCAGCCAAAATTAAGATTAACATAGTCAGAGTTTAAAACTCTCCACAGTATAATCTACCGGCTAGAAAGAAAAGAAAGAAAATCTCTGAGGGATGAAAACGCTAAAGTCACGTTTCACTAGCTTATGATTGTGTTTGGCCTGTCAACACCCAATTTTCTGTTGTTTGATGAAGTACAATAGCAGTGTCATTTCGTCGTTGTGATTGGCTCTTCCCACCGTCGGCACGCGAAGTCTCCCCTGGGAACCGTTCTAATTGTAAATCTACTCGGGAAAGGGTTGGCTCCAAGGGCTTGTATGGGAGATGGAGGCTCCATTTGATGGGCTTCTGACACGCGAACGCCCAACTCAAGGCCGGGGCGCGACACTCATTATAACAGAAATGGCCGTTTTCACATTAGGGAAGGATTATTCGTGTGAAACGGGTTATCAGTTTGATTATTCGCCGCGTCAGATAGGTAATACGTCTTAATTTGACAATGGAATAGTTTTAATTATCCGTTCCAGATAGCCTGTGTACAGCCGCCCCCCTACCCTTGGAAAAAACGGAGAAGGGGTGTCTGTGGGGAGGACGCGACTGTACACAGGCTAGTCCCAGACGGATAATCCATTTCTAGCTCTAGTGTGAAAACGGCCAATAACAAAATTCCCGTGTCCAGTGTTTTCAATGATAGCGAAGGACTGTACGGGACGACTGTCTGCCGTTGCCTTGTCCGTAGGCCACATTATTCCGCGCGGCTAATGCGTTTCGGGTCACGGGGTCCGAGCGAGTTCGCCATCGAAATGCCTTGACCGAGATTGCGTGGGAAGATGCCGTACAAAGACTAGGCATGGCAATGTCTACCGTAGCGTCAGAGAAAAACAGGGAAATGTTGTTTATCGGCAACGTGTTTTACAAACAGTGACATCTCTGCGTGTTGTTTCACTAGTGTTTCGAGGGCACCACCTCCTGAAAATTGCAAATATTAATCCCCAGCAAGAAGCCACACTTTTGCTATAGAAAAAATTAGTTCCCTGAGAGAGCGCCGGAAATGTAGCCTAGGTCTTGGTTAACACCTAAAAGGCGCTTCGCCTAACGTGCGTACGGAGACACACTAGCCGGGAAATAAAAAACGCAACCATAAGTGAGTTTAATACCTTCCTTAAAAGTAGCAAATCTAGGGAACACTTTCTTTTACGGTTAACTCTTTTTTACCCCATTTACAGCTAACCGTTAAAATTTTTCAATTTTTACGGCTATCGGCTAAATTTTTGGCCGTTTAACCATTGAGACCCTCTTAGAGGGTAAACGATCTTTAATTTACAAATTATTTATCTTTTTGTTTTGTTTCGTTCTATTCTTTCTCAGCACAAACTCTGTATTTGTTGGATTGGTACGCACCTAAGTACATTGGTTTCATAACAACAATTTAGCTATGGACCTCTTGCATGTTTAGAACAAACTGTCTACCGCGGTAATATTACCTTAGCCAGAACGCTGTTTTCGTAGTGAAAGGCCAGGTAAGGGAACAGAGGTCTATCCATGCTGTATTCAATATAAGATGGTTTCATATCTTCGGGAATTATCTTGGTTCCGTTTACACTAAAAACAACAGGAATTCGGATTTGACCATCTATCTCTAGCTTGTCTTCAAACATGACAGTGCATCGAATGACGTCACCTCGGCGAGCTGCGGTAGAGCCTTATTAAGGAAAAAGAAATAATAATTAAACTCCTTACCAGCCATCAAATGTCTTTACAGATCGGAGGCACTCGTAGTAGAACATCTAGAGCATTACAACTTTTTTTTTGCATTAAAAACTGTCGCGAGGGTTATGTAATGCGAAAATCGACAATATAAAATGAGCAAAAATAGAGCGGACTCATCAAAAACTTTGACTGCAACTTTTCCTTTTCGTCAGCCTTCCGAGCTACACTCTTTAGGACTAACTCATTCATGTAACCCAAAATATTTTCCAAGTGCAATACTATGCTTCCTTGAATCAGATTTTCTTCCATTTTGTTTCTTTCTAGAGTATCGTACATTTTCCTGTCATCCAATGTAATTAATACGTTGCCTTCGTTAATCAGAACACAAAATGTAGATTACAAACCTATAGTCTTTTTCCCGGAAGAGCACGCTAGTGTATCAAAAATTCTCCTGTCATCTGTGTGATATCCAACTGTTCCTCCTCTCCATCCAGGCATCAAATCCTTGCCGTAATCGTCAAACACCACTCCCATCCCAAGCCATCGTGTTTCCCCACTTTCGAGAATCATCACCTTAAAAAGAAATAATTTTGCTTCTGAGCAAAATGTCAACGTTGATAGGTCTGGCAGATCGAGCAAACCAACCTCGGCGTGTCACCCCATGAAGTATCATAAAATGAGAGATTCTATGGCCCTTAAAACATTTTGTCGGCTGTATTTAAATGATGTCATCGTAAAAGTGGTGCATTCTTACCTCAAAATGTGGAAATCTGCGGGAAAAGGGTTTCGTGTATCTCGCGCCATACCGGTAATAAAAGACGTTGCTTTCATAGGGCTGACGTGTTACAAGGTAACCGTCTACCAGTATAGCTTTATGGGCTTCCCACGCCTGTGAAGTCAACAGAAACGCCTTTCTTTACCTTCTGTGTTTATTTTATTATGATGGTAAATAAAACGTTAGCTTACATTTAAGTCTGTAAAGTTATAGCAGTCATAGCAAAGTTGACGTCAAGTTGAATTCCTGAGTTCTTGAGTTTCCTGAGTGTTGGAAGCCCTTGAAAATAAACCAGTGAGCCCGACCACATGCTGTCAAAGATAGACTACCACACCATGTACTTCGTTCCCTGCCCCTAAAAGGGTTTTGAAACAGGGCCTGCAGTTTATAGTCCTTATCCGAAAAGACTTGAAAGTCTAACCATTGTAAGATGACATTACAAAGGTTGCACTTTCACCCCAGTTATTTATTAATAACACTTTTGAGACGGCCTTTCACTAATGGAAGAAATATTTTTTACATAGTTATATAGCTGTAAAGCTGTAAAGCGATTATCCTTTAATTTTTACGAACTGTCCAATCAAGGATTAATTTGGATAGTTTCAGATGGGGCTTTCCTTTACAAAAAGGCAAACTGTCCAATTTAAGAAAAGCTGGTCTGAGCCAATCAAATGCTAGAAAATACAATAGACAATGCAAACTAGCTAATCAGCGCAAAGTCCCTGTGACAAAGCGCCATGAAATGTTTACTTCAATAGTTTTCGTGTCTAAAATTAGCATTTGCATTGTTGCTTTGTCTTCTTTGTACTCGGAATTGCAGTTTTCACAACACCGTATAATTGAATGAGCTTTTTAAAATTTAAGCTTATACTTGAAATGCCCAAGGTATGAAAGAGCAAATACTAGTTCTACGTTTTTTCACTTGTAAAGATAAGTTGACACTTTTTTTCAGATCTTGCAGTGTGATTTTGTTTTAAGTACAAACGGTTCGAGTGTACAATATTTCGCGTCTGTGACACCTACATGTACGCTAAAAAATCTGGATTAACGAACCAGCTATATAACTAATAAGCAAAAGGACTATATGCTTGTCCAGTTTGGAATTAATTTAATTAAAAAGAATTCTCTGACAGCCAAATTGGACTCTCGACTACGGCCTCGTGCAGTTTTCGCTGCCCTCGGAATTTTTTTTATCCAGTTATTCCAAACTGGACAGCATGTAGTCCTATTACATATAAAAATTGTTCTTTTTCCACCCGTTTTCCGCCGCAGGCAAGGAAATACCCTTAAATGGGATTTACAACACTTTATTATGTCATACTTTACTGATGAAAATTGACGTCCTTTCGTTGTGCTTTTAGCGCATGCGTAAATACAAGCCAAATTTTTTTTTTTTTTTTTGTTATGAAACCCTTTACACTCTTTTGTTATGTTTTTGTTAGCATTTTTGGACCTGACCGTGTAAAATGTTCAATAACATTCCTATCATTTTGAACTTACTGACCGATAGAAATATCGCATAATTTTTTCAGTCGCAATTTGTGAACAAAAAACAAAAGATTTTGCAAGGTCAGGGAGCTTCCAACATAAACTACTGACAGTACCGCTGTTTTCAAACTTGATGTTTGCCGGCTTTCATAACCAGTCTCCTCTACTACTTATGCTTTGATACATTGCTCCCTTTTTCTTTTCCTTTTCATTTCTTCCGCTTATCTACTTTGCTACTTAGCCAATCGTTTTTCCTAAGGAGTTTTGCCCCGCCAACTGTCCAGGGAAGGGGGAAATTCAATTTTCAAAGTGTAGCCAGTGAATTGTTGTTGTTGTTGTTTTTTTTGGTGTGTAACTCAAGCTGGATTGGTCATAATTTCCAAAGTGAGTTATCTGTGCAAAGATCACTTCATGCCAACCTAATCACTTGCACTACCTAAGCCCGTAGGGGATGGCGGACAGGTGCGCTCGCACACCTCCCACCCCCCTTCCCGGGCGGAGCCAGAGGTCCTCTTTTTTTGATGATCAACGACTTAAAAAGAAAGTGAAGTAGGGGTATTGTTCTATTCTAATTTACCAATTGTGTAGTGAAATTGAAAATGCTGTAAAAGAGGACACAACCCTGACTCACCCTTTCCACAGAACGTGGTTTAGACTTCGTAAAGTGTAAAAAGGAGATTTGGTGTGCCTACAAGGCATTTTTTTGTTGGTCAAGTAAATTCCCTTTAGGGTTTGTTTGCTATAGTTTTCTGCAAAGTGCTAGATCGGAATTGTTATTTTAACAGTCGTGGAGTATGAGAATTCCCGTCAGCTTTGACATAATGGACCCAGCTCTTCTTGTGTGGCTTGGAGGATATTAACACTCCTTTTAAAGCTGCACAACTCTTCGTGGAGAAAATTTCTTTTTACGGCGACGTTTTTTGTTCTTGAAAGTATATAAGTATCAGTACACCATGTTAGTTTTAAATGCATTTCCAGCCATTTCAGAGGGCTTAAACTTAAAATTTTCCCGCGCTACTCCCTAAGAGACTCTGATAACAAACTAATTGTCCCGTTCCCGCGAACTACCTTCATGAAGAACAACTAAGTTACAGCGGAGCAGTTCTCTGGAACAGCCTACCCTGTGATATGAGAGAGGCTAAAACTTTAAATGAATTTAAACGATTGGCTCATCTGAATTTCAGATTTTTTAAGTACTGTACTGTGTACACGGTATTCATGAAAAACAGGTCTTTGTTAGGTTAGTTGTAGATAGGTTTGCATATTGTTAAGGGTAATTAGGTTTAGTTAACTTTTTTTTTTACCCCTGATGAATTTTACCGTATTTAAATAAAGAATTATTCATTTATTCTATTCTATTCTATTCTAAACATAAGTCTTTGAGAAATGGGCAATGTGCGTCGTTCCTTTACAGAATGGAATTGACCCAGACAGTCGCCAAAGGGTTAAAGACCTGAGTTGTGGTCCAGCCAAGGGTTGAGTCCACAGCGTGCCAGCAGGCAAATCGGCGCTCACCTACTTGCGTACGTTATCCCAATTCATGAGAAACATATCGAAATTTCCATTCCTAAGAACACTCATTTATGCAGTTTCAACTACAATAGTGTACTAAAGTCCTTGGAACAGTACTGCAATACTCTTATTTTTCTGTCATTTCTCGGCTCCCTCTTGGAACAGTACATCCTTTTAGAAATCTTCTTGCAATTTTTCCTCCCCCACCCTATACAAAGTTGAAACTCGGAAAAAAATCTGGATACACGCGTCCAACATTGTTTGTGGGCTGAGGGAAGGGGTTAGACCTGAGTGAATTGGAAAACGCCCCAGAAATGCAAAAGTGTCCCAAGACTTTCGTTTATGATTGTAGATGTAACTGTTAGAAGTACACACACGACTACCTCTACCGAAATGATTTTGGTATCCTTCCCCTGTACATGTAAGCTATATGCAAGAAAAGGCTTCTTTGATCGCACCAACATATGTGTATGTTTAAAAGCTTTAATCAACAAAGCGTAATTTCTTGTGTCTGATGGCATCATCGCGCTCATTACCTGCTTTCGTGCCACCAAGGAACGACCCACTAGAGTCGTTGTTCGGCTATATTACAAAGTTAGATTTGTTCTTCTTCAAAAGTGATAAGGTACTATAAGAGTAAATCGTTTTCGTACCATCTTAGAAAAGTCGCCAAAACTCAAGCAATGCTCTATTTCTCTCAGTCATCTTTCTGCTAAGGGACCGGTCATTATTTATCGCCGGGGAAGGGGGGGTATTTTGGGCTAAACAACGTGAAATTTAGCCGATCCCTCTTTGAATGTTACTTCACTGAAGTGATCCCCCCTAATAACTTTTCATTTTCCGAGCAAATTTGAGTGGTCCCCCCTCTGAATCCTTCCGACCCCCCCCCCCCCCCGGGCGATAAATAGTGACCGGTCCCTAAAACTTACTATCAAAACAGTGAAAAACTCACCGAGACGGTCAAAAGCATTTTCCTTGATCCCTGGTTTACTTAACATTCCTCCAACAAGACTTGCACTTCTAACGTATTCTTCGTCGTTAGCACTCACAAATGACCTTATCAGATGAAAGTGCATCCCTCGCGAGGCTACGCTTAGTAAACAAGTGTTGTCACGGACATGCTTAGTACGTTATTTAGTCCTGTCGGTTTGCATGTATCTTTTTTTCAGTCGCACTTTGTTGTGCTATTTTTTTCCCGTTTCTGCCTTCCCCACCCTGACCACGTCTCAAATAATCAATACTAAAATGGTATAGTTACCTCTGCACCGTTAGGAAGAAGAGATTTGTCATGACATTTTTGAGACGTGAAGGTTCGGTAAAGAATCTGATTAACCATACTTTCAGTATTCTCTGCATCGTCAAGTATCTGGGCGATTTTATCTGAATGTACATGTAATAAGAAATTTAATCATATATAGACCGGCCTCTAATAGTTTCTTTGATCAATTAAGGGACTGGTCAAAAAAGTATGGGGGGTGGGCCGGAGCATTTGGAAATGTGGTTGAGAAAAAACACATGGCCCACCCCCTCCCTTCGGCACAAAAATGACTGACCCACCCCCAAAGCAAGGTTGGAAATTGCATGACCCACCCCCTAGTTAAAACATGGATGTTTGGTTTTCTCTTAATAATTCAATAAAACCTTGTTCTGTGCTTGACAAAATGTGTTGATACACTGCTACAACCAATATCAGAAGCACAGAAATCATACCTTTCAATGAAAAGACAAATGTAAAAAACCGAACATTTCTTGTTTCGACGGACGTTATGAGTCTTGACACAAATATACAGCAAAAGGAGGGTATATTGAAATTGTCTGTCACAACGCATATGAGAATTTCTACAAAGACAACCCATTCATACACATGACTTGCCGGAAATGCTTAGATTAATCCTCAAAGAAAATTTCTTCCACTTCAATGGAAAGCACTACCTACAAAACCATGGAACTGCAATGGGCACAAAGACAGCAGTTTTGATTCCTTTGTCAATATTTTCATTACATATATTGAAACAACAACTCTAAGCAAAACTGTCTTTAGAACAACAGTTTGGAAATGCTACATACATAATATCTTTTCCCTATGGGACATGAATAAACCAGACATCGAAGCCTTCATCGAACAAGCAAACTTACATCACCCGACTACTGAATTCACGGCCGAAACATTTAACACTGAGACTGCGTTTTTAGACACGGTTGTATACAAAGGCACAAGATTCAAGGAAAAATCTATCCTTGATGCAAAGACACATTTTAAACAAACGAAAACCTTCTTGCACACCCATTTCACCTCGTGTCACCCTCCAAATGTTAAAAAAGGATTTGTCAAAGGAGAGGCCTTGAGAATCCTACGAAAAAACTCCTCAGTAACAACCTTTGAGGAAAATAATTCAAATTAAAAAAAAAAAAAAAAACGCTAGATGGACGGAGGCTACCCACAATCTTGCATAGAAAACCTACTATCAGAAATAAAATTCACAAAAGGGAGTCTAAACTCCTAAAACAAAACAACAAGGAGGAAAAGAAATATTGCCATTCGTGACACAATACCAGCCCTCAGTGTCTACTATAAAGGAAGCTTGAATGAAAAAATGGAATCCTATACAAAACCAATTAACTATAACTTCAATAAATTTTTAAAGAACCACCAATCATTTCCTTACAAAAATGACAATCATTAAAGGAAATGCTCGTTAGAGCCAAAAAAAAAAAGGTTAACAGAGGGGTTCACGCCCGTATACATGTGCGGCCTGTCACCCTTTGTATTTTCTCGCACAACAGGTTTGAGAGTATTTTAGTAATAATTCCAGCTGGCTGTGTTTTATATAACAAGTAAAGTCAACTCTCTCGTTAGTAGTTAGTGCCTATCTATGTAATAAAATAGGGTGACCCACGCCCTAAGGGTAGCTGAAAATTGCACGACCCACCCCTTGCGCAAGGCTCAAAACCTCACGACCCACCTCCTCCCTGCTCCGGTCCACCCCCCTATACTTTTTGACCAGTCCCTAACCCTCGAACGTACACGCAAATTCATACCCCCACCGTGGTACAAAGGAGAGGGAGGGAATCCCTCTAGAGTTTTTGATATGTTACAGTATTTAGAAACGAAGCCTTTGATCTTCTTAAGAAGATGAGGTATGTTTCATGGGTGATGGCGCTGCTGGAGGCTTGTGACGTCACCAACAAAGGTCGCCACCTTGGATTTTACCAAGTATCAGAAATCAGGTTAAAACCGCTAGAAATTGTGAGATTTTGTGCTTGACGTGAAAAATAACACATAAATAAGCACTTTGCATGATTTTAGCCACAAGATTTACTTTCATTGTTGAAAGAAGTTGAAAAAACGTGTATTTCCACTCAAGATGGCTTGACCACCTGCTACGTCATATATCGTAACCATAGAAACTGGCCATCACTGAATTTGACTCAAAATGTGCGCGAGGGATAAACGAACAGCACAGTACTTAATACGTCTGGTGTTGATGTCTTACCCTCTAGGAAATAACTCAGAAAAACTTGGAGAGGGGTGGCAACCCCTCCCCCCGCCCCCTGCCTAGTACGTCCGAGGGTTAAAATAATTTTAATTGAAAAGAAACTATTCCAATTATTGGAATATTAAGCTGAATTTTCCGAACTTAAAACGAGTTAAATATAATGCACACTCACTTCCCGGAGGAAAGAAATCTCCGTATTTAAGTCTGTACTTGTCCAGTAAAAATTCCAAAACGACCTGCAGTGAAACAAAAATTGAAATTAAGTAAAAGTTGAGCGAGGTTTAACTTTAACGTTTTCGCGTGACCTTCTGTACATTGCCTAAGTCTATTTCCACCCTTTTCGGACGGGCTTTTTTGCTCGTTGATACGGCCACCAAAATTACACATAGTACTGTACTCATTATTTCCAAATGCATATAACTTGACTGAGACAATGACGCATCTTAACGTCCAGTTTAAGCTATATAGTTTTCTAACCCATATAGCGTTAAATTGAATTTAGCAGTAGTGCAAAAGTAACCAAACTACATTTAAATCACAAATAATGATAATCCTTGCCCTCGAGTCACGGAATCCTCTGGTCGATTTAATTAATTTAATTGATCAAAGAAATTCTAAAAATGCCACCGGCTGTTTCACAGAACGACACAATGGTCTTTAATTAGCGCAAAAAAACCATTTTTGATGATTTATAAGTAGGCTGCTTGGACTTGATTCATCTCCAGTTTCAGGTGTCGCAATCAGTTTGTCATAAAACAAATGTCTTGTGTATTATTTTGTCCAATTTTTTAATTAAAATGCACCTAAAACGATAGCCTGAAAGTAAGCTCTCTGTTTTGGACGTCGCCAGAGGCATTGCCTCTTGTGATTCATAATAGACCATTTCCGAGTTCCACTAAATCGCTTTCACACTAACTCTCGCTTTCAAAACGAGGCTAAGAGCAAAACCTGTCTTGTGAAAATAAAAATGAAGAAAAAAAAATCATTTTCATGTTAATTTATAGCTTTGCTTTTAGTCTTGCTTTGAAGCAGAGGATTGGGATAACTCAGAAATGGCCTTTTTAAGAAGAGAGCCTGCTTCTAAAAAATAGGTTACTAGCTGCAACTCAAGGGCAACGGTCGGGAAAATCGACCAAAATCTTAATTTCTGGCCAAGAGTTAAAAAATTATTAATTTCTTTCATTTTTTGTTCATAGATAGCTTTTAGGTAGATGAGAAACCTAATGTAGATTGTTCCCTCCAAAAGCCTTTCATTTGTGAGACAAATTAGAAGATTGGTTTTCGATGTCGGAGTCTCAGATCGCCCTAATTTTTAACCCGAAAATCGCTAACATCAACTTTCCTCGCGTTTGCAAACGAAGCCGCATGGAGAAATTTGGACACTTTCCATGAACAGAAAAATTCTTTTCTTCTACTAGAAGATACTTTCAGGGCAATAGTGAAGCTCGCCGTACTGAAATAATTCAAAAATGAGGGATAGGTTTTCAGGATAACAAAAACTTAAGTTTGTTACTTATTTTTGACGGCAATATTTTACATGTGGTATAACTCCAAATTCTCTTCATGCTATTTAAATCACACATTTAGACATTCATTTAAAGCATACCTGGGAATTGGCTTGGGTAAGACACCACTAATCGAAGTTCAGGAATTTTCATTAACACTTCCAATTTCAAGACGCACAAAAATAAGTATTTACAGCCTAACAAGTCGTTTTTCGTACTTCTAGTAGGTTTTTCCATTGCAAATTTGCTTTTTTCAATCAAAGAGTAGGGTAAAAAGGTGAACTGGGTCAATTGTTGGCCATTATGAAACACGGAACTCTAACCCTAACCCTATCGTGCGTTTAAAGAGACGAAGCCGTCGAAATAACAGTCACGGAATCACGGTAGTAACCCAACGCAATTCCGATGAGTAACATTTTCAATGCCGACAGTATTTTGAAGAAGAAAAAATATCAAACACGCTAGAATTCTGGTACAGCACTTTTTATCGAAAACAAAGGACTTTAACAAATGGTAATTCGCTAAGGATGATATTTCGTCTTGTTACTTTACGATCGAGGAAACTTGGAGCCATTAAATAAGTTATTTTGGTCACACCTCACTATATCTGGCGGACTTGGATGCTTTCGTTTGGAGGCTCCCTTCAGGAACCCAAGCCAATTCTCACGTATGCTTTAAATGAATGTCTAAATGTGTGAATAAAAGAGGACTGGGAAGATTTGGAGCTATACCACATGAAGAATAATGCCTCAGAAAACAACAACTTAATTAAAGTTTTTGTCACCGTAAAAACCTGTTCTTCATTTTTGAGTTATGTCAGTTTAAAGAGTTTTGATATTGCTTTGAAAGGATCCTCTAGTTGGAAAGTGTCCAAATTTCTCCTTGCGGCTTTATTTTCGAACATGAGGAGAGTTGATGTTAGCAAATTTCCATTTTGAGACTCCGACCACGAAAACTGATGTTTACATTTCTGTTTTCTCGAGACTAAAAGGCTTTTCGCGAGAACCACCTACGCCGTTAGTTATCCAGTACCTAAAAGCGATTGTTAGTAGACCACGTTACGGCGTAACGAGAAACAGCGTAACGGGATTTTTTATTTTTATTTTTTCTGAAACCCGATTTCTCCAAACTATTGAACGAGATAAAAATCTTACCGAAATCGTTCCATCTTTGATGAAATGACACATGTATTCTTCGTTTTCACTGTCACGCAATAAACATAACGCATTCGCTCCTAACCTTTTTTGCAGTTTTTTTTCCCTCTCTGCTCATTTCCCCCTTCGCAAACGTAAACATACGGTGTCCCTCATCAAAGATGCAAAATGAGGATATAT